TTGTGGGGGTTTTTGTGAATTGCGCAGCCCCGGTATTGTGGGTTAAAGTGAATTGCTCAGCCACGGTATTGTGGGTTTTGTTGTGAATTGTTGCAGCCATGGTATTGTGGGTTAGTTGGGAATTGTTGCAGCCATGGTATTGTGGGTTAGTTGTGAATTGTTGCAGCCATGGTATTGTGGGTTAGTTATAAATTGTTGCAGCCACGGTATTGTTGGTTAGTTGTGAATTGTTGCAGCCCGGGATTGTGGGTTTTGTTTTGAATTGTTGCAGCCAGGGGAAATTTTGGGGGTTTGTTGTAAATGTTTCAGCCACGGGATGTGGGTTTGTTGTGAAATTGTTGCAGCCAGGTATTGTGGGTTTGTTGTGAATTGTTGCAGCCACGGTATTTTGGGTTTGTTGTGTTTTTGCAGCCACGGTATTGTGGGTTAGTTGTAAATTGTTGCAGCCACGGTATTGTGGGTTAGTTTTGAACTGTCACAGTCACGGTATTGTGGGGTTTGTTGTGAACTGTCACATCCGGTTTGTGGGGTTTGTTGTAAAATTTTTGCACCCGGTATTATGGGTTAGTTGTAAATTTTTTGCAGCCACGGGATTGGGGTTAGTTTTAAAATTTTGCAGCACGGTATTGTTTTGTTTGTTGTGAAACTGTCAAAGTCACGGTATTTGGGGTTTGTTGTGAACTGTCAAGTACGTATTGTGGTTAGTTGTGAACTGTTCCGACGGTTTGTGGTTAGTTGTAACGGGCACGTCACGGTATTGTGTGAGTTTTGAACTGTCACAGTACGGTTTGTGTGTTAGTTGTGAACTGTCACAGCCCGGTTTGGTGTCAGTTGTGGAACTGTCCAGTCACGGTACTGTGTGTTTGTTTTAAACTGTCCAAGTCACGGTATTGTGTGTTAGTTGTGAATGTCACGTCACGGCTTGTTGTTGTTGTGAATGTCACAGTCACGAATTTTGTGTTAGTGTAAATTGTACAGTCACGGTATTGTGTGTTTGTTGTGAACTGTCACAGTCCGGTATTGTGTGTTTTTTGTAAACTGTCACAGTCACGGTTTGTGTGTTAGTTGTGAACTGTCACAGTCCGTTTGTGGTTTGTTGTAAACTGTCACAGTCACGGGATTGTGTGTTTGTTTTGAACTGTCCAGTACGGTCCCGTGTGTTAGTTGTAAAAATGTCACAGTACGGGTTTTTTGGGGTTGTTGTAATCTGTCACATACGATATTTTTGTGTTGTTGTAAAAATGTCCAGTACGGTATTTGTGTGTTTTTGGTGTGTGGTTTCTTGGTTTTGTTGGGGTGGTATTGTGGGGTTGTTGGGGGCTGTACGTTGGTTGTTGTTAGTTGTTGTGGGGGGGGGGGGGGTTGTTTAAATTTTGGTTTGTGTGTTAGTTTAAAGGTGTTTTTGTGGTTGTTGGGGGTGCCGGTTTTGGGTGGTTGTTGTTTTGGGGGTTTTTGGGTTTTGTCTGGGGTATTTTGGGGGTTGGGGGGAAAGTAAATAGTTTGGGGGTTTTGGGGGGTTTTTTGGGGTGTTTTGTGTGGGGGTGGGGGGGTTGTTCGAAGTGGTTTGGTGTTGTTTTGGTTAAGTGGGTTTGTGTGTTATTTGCTGGGGTGGGTTTTTGGGTTGTTGTTGTGGGAGGTTTGTGGTTGTTGTGGGGTCCGTAGGTATTGGGGTGTTAGTTGGAACTGGGGCCGTGGTTTGGTGTTTTGTTGTAAAAATGCACAGTCACGGTATTTTGGGGTTAGTTGTAACTGTCCAGTCCGGTATTTTTGTTGTTGTAAACTGTCACATCACGGTTTGTGTGTTAGTTGTAAATGTCACAGTCACGGTATTGTGTGTTGTTGTAACTGTCACAGTCACGGTATTGTGTGTTAGTTGTAAACTGTCACAGTCACGGTATTGTGTGTTGTTTTAACTGTCACAGTCCGGTATTGTGTGTTTGTTGTAAACTGTCACAGTCACGGTTTGTGTTAGTTGTAAACTGCACAGTCACGGTTGTGTGTTATTTTTAAACTGTCACAGTACGGGTTTTGGGGTTTAGTTGTAAAATGTACAGTCACGGTATTGTGTGTTAGTTGTAAAATGTCACGTCCCCGGGATTTTGTGTTATTGTAACTGTCACAGTCACGGATGTGGTTTGTTGGAACTGTCACAGTACGGGATTGGTGTTAGTTGTAAAAATGTCCAGTCACGGTATTGTGTGTTATTGTAACCCAGTACGGTATTGTGTTTATTTTTAAACTGTCACTCCGGATTGTGTGTTAGTTGTAAACTGTCACAGTCACGGTTACTGTGTGTTAGTTGTAAACTGTCACAGTCACGGTATTGTGTGTTAGTTGTAAACTGTCACAGTCACGGTATTGTGTGTTAGTTGTAAACTGTCACAGTCACGGTATTGTGTGTTAGTTGTAAACTGTCACAGTCACGGTACTGTGTGTTAGGTTGTAAAACTGTCACAGTCACGGTATTGTGTGTTTGTTGTAAACTGTCACAGTCACGGTACTGTGTGTTAGTTGTAAACTGTCACAGTCACGGTACTGTGTGTTAGTTGTAAGCTGTCACAGTCACGGTATTGTGTGTTAGTTGTAAACTGTCACAGTCACGGTACTGTGTGTTAGTTGTAAACTGTCACAGTCACGGTATTGTGTGTTAGTTGTAAACTGTCACAGTCACGGTACTGTGTGTTAATTGTAAACTGTCACAGTCACGGTATTGTTTCAAAAAGTGTCTTTTTTTAATGCCTGACGACCATTTTATTTCTTCTTCTTTGTAATTTCTATGACTTTCATGTAGGCCTAAAGTCAATGGCCTACATGTCAATGGTCCAAGTCGGACCGAAACGTCGTCGTAAGCTTCTCTCTTTTATGTGCGGGTTATTTGTGTAATTTTCACATTATTTCAAAACTATATCTTAGTTTTCCTATAGTTTAATAGTTTTAATTTAGGTAAATAACTTGGTATCCCGTTTTAGGGGATTCACCGTTTTAAAACACCAGTTTTAGGGTCTTCGTAAATCTTATAAGTCTAATTATGGGTCTTTCTCTTATCGTCACTTTTTGTATTAACGTTTCTGTGTTTTGAGACGTTATTATCAGGTATTATCAGTCAGCACTTACAAAGAAATGCAGTTTATCTTTAGATATCTTTTATTCAGTTTTCAATAAGTTCTAGATTAAAGCTGAGTCGAAAAAACATTTAGTGGTTCTCTAAGGTTCAGGTCTTGAACCTTGAAGTTTTAGTGACTTTGAAATTTAACTCCTTTAAAGATTTTAGATAAAGACACACATGGTAAACGCTTGTGTAGCTTTAATGTGGAGACGTTTGGAGAATCAGTACAGAGAATACTACTGGAGACGGTTGAAGGCATGAAGAAAGAGATTGGGGTGATCAGTCCCTTATCCTAGAAAGGTGTTCTGTCTAACACTCGTTTGAACAGAACACCTCTTTCCTAGGATAATCAGTTTTAACTAATTCTTCACGTTTCCTTCATTCTCCAACTGACTAATCTAGTCTAAAGGACGGGTCACTTGTAGCTTCTTCATATCTATCGTCTGCAGTGTTATTCTCTGTGTTTGGACTGATGAAGCCACTGATTGGCGAAGTGTTTCCACAACAAAGATACCCAAGTGATGCCCATGTATCATGTTCATCTCATTTTCGGTACTGAAAACGATTAACACGATCCTTCCGAGAGCACTATAGATTCCTCAGAACTTTCAGTGACTCTTAAGTCTAACTCTTTCTAAGAGTATTACAGAGCCCTAATAAGTGACTCTAACTCTTTCTAAGAGTATTACAGAGCCCTAATAAGTGACTAACTCTTTCTAAGAGTATTACAGAGCCCTAATAAGTGACTCTAACTGTTTCTAAGAGTATTATAGAGCCCTAATAAGTGACTCTCAAGTCTAACTCTATCTAAAAGTATTACAGAGCCCTACTAAGCTCCAGTAACTCTTACAAAACTTATTCTAGATTAATACGGGTCTCTAAGAGGCTGTAATGACTCCCTCACCTCAAACTTCTAGATTTCTACGAATTCCTGATATGACTTTACACAACTAAGAAACATTTGAAGTGACAAACCTCCTTCAGAAATGCGACTCATCTCACACAGGAAGCCTCGTCTATCTCACAGGAGGCTTCCGGTAATCTACAGGATGTATACTTTGGCTTCCCGAAGAAAATCACTGAAGAAATATGTCTTCTTTCTCTATCTTTCTCAAGAAATGAGTCCTAATTCTGAGCGTACAAGTGTCTGTACTTTTTAAATTCAAATTCTTAAATTCTCTCTTCCTCGCGGGAACTGATTAAAAAAAATCAAATTATATTACGTGTAACCATTAAAAATTCTCCCAACTCTTAAGTCATTAAAAATTCTGTTGGCATTATTTTTAAGGGGTGAGAGAATATATATTTTAAACCGTTAATTCTAGGTATTTTCGTCTCTAAAAAATTCTATTTAGCCCCATGAGAATTTTTTT